TCCCCTCATCCAGGTCATCAAGAAAGATATTAAACAACTCTGGGCCCAAAACTGAGCCCTGGGGAACACCGCTTGTGACCAGATGCCAACTGGATTTAACTCCGTTCACCACAACTCTCTGAGCTCGGCCATCCAGCCATTTTTTTTATGCAGCAAAGAGTACACCTGTCTACGCCATGAGCCACCAGCTTCTCTAGCAGAATGCTGTGGGAGACTGTGCCAAAGGCTTTACTGAAGTCCAGGTAGACAATATCCACAGCCTTTCCCTCATCCACTAGGCAGATCACCTGGTCACAGAAGGATTTTAAAAGATTTTATTTTAGATGTATTTTATGTTAGCAACAAAGAAGTTTCATTCGTTTCATATTTTATAATTCATCATATCTAGCCACCTGAACTGTCAATTTTGGAACACACTAGTAGCACGAACACAATACTTACCTGATCTTTGGAAAAAGCTTTGACATGAATGTTTTTGACAGTCTGAACTACACCATCATAAAATTTCACAGTGTACGTACCTAAAATTTGAAAATAAGGCATAAGTGTTTAAAGATCAGAAGCTATTTAACAGAGCATCTGCTAACAGATACTCCAATACTCTAACTGCACATTTAGCTCTAGATAAAAACTGCCTTATCTGTGTTGTTAGAAACCAAAAGCAGAGGTCTTATCACAGGCCAGGTAAGGGAGAAACAGTGAAGTTAAAAATAATTACTGTAAGCATAAAGGTGCATGTCTAAGCTTAGATTTGCACCTTGGATACACTTTCTTCTTAAAACCCCAAAATATTTTTGGTAGACTACTCCGAGAGATAATTACACACTTTTTCTCCTTGATCTTACAACACATAGTCAATCTAAAGAAAGCACAGCATAACAAGCCCTTCATGGTTACTTACTGATATTCAAAAAGGAGCAGCATGGCTGTGCTTCCCCCTGCCCCACCACTTGCAAAGGGGTTTTGCAGTTCTGACACTAGTTTTACTGCAGTTACATGCATCTCTTGACAATAAACTTCAGAAGCAACTTTTCCCAAACTTAAAGGAATCACTGACTGGGTATCCCAGCAGAAAGTTCTTTTCTCTCATGAAAAGGATAAGAGGTTAGGTTAAAAAAGCTGATGGCAGACTAAAACATATAATTGAAAAGAAAACTTTTCACAGTTGTGTTCTGTCTGCTGTACTACCTCTCCACCTAAGCAAAAAGGTTACAATACAATTAGAAATGCATTACTAACAAGCATGACAAAACCAGAAGGACTATTCCTTACCATCTTTGTTAACAGAAGTAACTTTGGCTGGATAGAAGCGACAGTCAGACCAGCAAGCCAATACCTGATCATTTATGTGAAATCCCTACAAGACGGAAGTTAAAAGCATTTTCATCTGAGAATTACTGAAACACACAACTTCATTAAAACAAAATGATTAGTTTTCCAATATTTAAAATAAATCATAAAACTTATATAGCAGGCAACACAGCAACAGTGAAGCATTTTAATGGTCATAATTCATAGAACTGCACATTACACTATTATGTACTCAAATGTCCTCTATTTTCTACTTACTGCACAACCTTCTTCCTCATGTAATCCTTCTTTTCTTAACTGTATTTTCTCTAAGGGACGCAAATAAGGACTGTCCCAACAAAACCATTCATCATATCTATGGTTCCAGCGTTTGAAATGGATAAGTACTTTTCCTTCTTCATAATCAATTTCTTCAATGTGAGCTGGATACCTAGTCAAAAGGTAGATTGAAATATTTCAATTAAGAATTAAGTAAGCTGTCTCTGACACTTAACAACAGCACAAAACATTACACAAATGGAGCCTTCTTATTGATCAAAAGCAAAATATCTGAAGATCTGCTTGATCAGGTGTTAACGGGAGCCAAGTTACTATACCTAACAATCTTTAGCTTCTACAATCTTAACATTCTTGTATAAACAATAGAGATGCTACAAAATGACTACGAGCTCAGCACAGGACAAATCCCAAAACTGAACAGCAAAGGCAAACATTGGCTACAGAAAGAGAACTCAGTCTGAGGTGGAAAAAAAAAAAACCAAACAACTAGACAACGAGAAGTCAGAAAAGCCTTCCCTATACCTAGAAATTTCACATACACACAAAACTGATAGCTTCAGCTCCCTCTTATCAAGAGTAACACCTGGAGGTCAATACACTCACTTCTGTCAGAGATATCCATCAATGATATGATGGATCAGCATCATGAATCATCTCCCCAGTGTAACAGCAAAAGTCTAAAAGGCACACTAAAACATTAATTCAAGTTTTAGATTCTTAAAAGTAAATTTAATCTGCAAAGTTCTGGGATTTTAAAATAAAAATCTCTCAGTACATTAAAAGTACAGGAATTTGAGAAAAGCAAATCCAGTTGTTTCTAATCAGGAAGACCTTATAAATGGTGCATTTCTTTAATTGCATTGGTAATTTGTAACTTCACTCATATTTCACTATCCTAACTGAAGATAACATCCCCAGTATTGATGCTTTCCCTGCCGCAATAACAGCGCCAGGAGAAAGTCTCCACCTGTCAGCATTTTCAGTTATTTGTAGAAGAAAGGCACGGCCCCACTTAAACAAAAGCTTGAAGAAAAAAAAAAATCCAGAAATCCACATGTATTATTACCTGACAAATCACACTTTAAAACACAGAAAAATGGGCAGAAAGAAATGGCATCTTGAAAGGATCAAGCCTGATGTTAAAAATAAAACCTAGACATGTCAGAATGAAGACTTAAATGCAACAGAGTACCATTTTATAATCCTAGACAGATGAAAAGAAAAGCTACCTACAACTGAAATTCTTCAGCAGATCTGGAGACACACACAGTCATGACTTGTCCAAAACCAGCTACAAACAGGCCACGCTAGACACTTAAACTGTCACCACAGACTAAGGCTCTGCCTAACACTCAATGCCACATGCCTCAAGCTATGCCATTAGTTCATCCCAATATATTATCAGAACACATGCAGCAAAGGCTGTGGAGGAGAGGAAAACAAGTGAGAGATACTTACAGCATGGACATCTCTAACTGGTTACCAGCTTCCTAGGAAGAAAGGAACTTCCTTTGTGTTCACAGTCAACATATTTCATATTTAGGTAACCCCAAGCACTGCCCTGCACAGGTTCATGAGGGGTGAATATTCACAGTCTTTCCACATATAACAACATAGTTCTATTAAACATAGTTTATTCTTAGATATCTCATAAACTGTTTATCACTAAGGACAGGTAATGGCAAAAATCAGTATCCAGTTCCCTACAAAGTGCAGCAAAAACAGGGGTAAGAATTCCCAGGTCCTCTGAACAAGAGACTAGGCAAAAGCACCCTTCTGACATCAGGACTGCAACGGGCCTAGGGCTTGTCCAGATTCTCAAAGATCAAGCAGGAAGCTGATAAAAGTGACAGAACACTGACTCAACATTCAGATAACAATCCAGTCCATGCAGATAAACACCTTGGGTAAACATACTCAATCCACTAATTTTCTCCCACTGGGGAGAGACAAGCCCAAGTGACAAGAGCCAACTAACTCTATGAGGTAAGACTTTACCTACTTCACACACAGTAGAAGGAGGAACCTTCTCCAACAGAAGAACCATCATTGCAGAATCATGCACCAGTATCACCTGCACCTATCCCACCTCACCTTCTAAAGACTCTCCTGATGGGGAAGAGATGCTGATTTATCATAAAGAACAGCAAAAACATACCTGACAATGAGACCAAATTTCAGCCTGGTTGAGAGCCAGCATGGGTGAACTGGAGCTCTCAGACAGCTCCTGGACAACATGCTGCAAAGTTTGAAGAAATCTTCCCTTTCTGAAGCAACCAACCATCAGCAAACATGATCAAGTGCTCTTAACTGGAACAGTAAACCTATTGACAGCCCCCTCCTGGATCCCACCTTCCTTTCAGATGCAAAACACAGTGCTGGCAACTTGGAAACAAAGAAGAAAGATTCATAGATTCTCAGCAGCTCTGAGCACCATGCACAGACTGTGCAAGCTTCCTTCCTCCAACATTCATCGCTTAGCCTTCAAAACACTGAGCAAGCATGCCACATCAGGAGGCAGAAGTCCTCACAGATCTATACAGAAGAGGACTAATAGAGCATATCCATACACATGCACCAAAAAGCCTGTAAACATGCCAAGTGGCAGAGGTAACTGACTTGACAGAGGTAACTTCTGCTAACTGGCAGAGGTAAATTCAGACTTGTTTGTCAAGAAAACATACTATGGGAGGATACACAAAGTGAAAAGCCAATAGCTGAAGCCTGATGAAGGCATGGGGGGGAGGGGGCGGGGGAAGAGTACAACCACTGTGTGTCCAGGCAGAGTCCAACACATCCTCCCCCAAAACACAAAGGAAGTTGACTCCACGGGTTTTCAAGACAGCTAACTGATCCTGAGTAAGAAATCTCCAACTGGTACTGATCTGAATATTTATCTAACATACCATGAAAAACAAGCTGAAATCAGACACAACTTCTTGCTGTGTCTTTATTGGGAGGCCAAAACAAGTAGTTTTCCAGCTCAATTCAAAAGGAATGATGAGCTTGTACTTTTCAAGGCCTTACGCATTGGCTAAACAGTAAGCGAAAACCTCTAAGATGCTCAAACTGCTGTCATTAGTTTGATAAAAACTCGAACAACAATCAAAAGCTCAAACAGCCTAACTCTCAACAGACAAGGGTTAGCAATGACTGACAACTTCAGACTACTGCTGTCAGAGCACAGCAAACAATATGAAAATGAGTCTCTTGTAGACACAAGTGTAAAACCATGCTCTTCCATGAAGAGGTATATACCTGGAAATTCAGAGAGTGGTGACTGGAGAGTTTTCCATCTCTCAGCTCTGGACTAGTTTGTCTCCCTTCTTTCCTATATACCAAAATGGGATTGCTGTAAACCCCCCCCTCTCTTGGACCTAAGGAAGGAGAAGCTTACTGCAGTCAATGCAATGCTGAGAGGAAAGGAAGCATCTAGGAGAACCAGTACTATGCAGAATGACAACTACTATCTTTTCAGTGCTGAGACAAAGTCCTCACAGCATGAGCAGTTAAACTCATGGGACTGACAATCTAAACCTTAACAGGGTAGCACAATACTCTAACAATACTAATCTTGTTTTCAATACTCAAGAGCCTCAACCAGAATCAAAAGTCTCTTCATTTTACTCACACAACAAACAGAGGAACTTGAAGAGGTGTCATTACAATAAGGTAACACAAGAGGTGTCTTTATTTGCCTACTCCAGGTGTCCAGTGCAGAGTCATCTCTTTTTGGTAAGAAAGAATTTCTGCAGCTAGCCAGCAGTAAAGAGTTGGAATGATCCAATGCAGAAAGTTTAAAGAATTAAATTCATCCGGGACAGCGTGTGCATGTACATCATTACAGCTAGACTCTCTGGGATCTCTCCATTTAGGACTACACAGCTGGAGCAGTCCCACTACCCGCTACTGAACTCCAGCACTGTGTACCAGGTGACCTTTCAGCATGCATGGAGGCATTGCCTGATGGCCAGAGCTCTCCCCTTTTAGTGCCCTGAGGTCAACAGACACTTGTCAGAAGCCTTTCATGACAGCTTTGATGCATCAACCAAGCCCCAAGAACGAAGCCAAGCACCAAGTACCAAAAGTACAAGAACGCCCTGGAGTTTGAGTCTAGGAGGTGACAGAAAACTGCACCAGGAACTGAAGTGCACTTCCAATATATTATGATTCCAGATACAACACAGTAACCTTTGATTAGAGCTCTAAAGATGCAAAATTCACTTTGCACTTTGGCAAGGAGCACACACCGCATTGACTACTCTGCTAGCATACAGAACTTTTTTTCCCTTCAATAGGGTTGGCATCACACACGAACATCCTGAAAGTCCTGAACTAGCATTTCAGGGCACAAGTCACCACCATGAAAAGGCAAGTAAATGGGGCTCCGAGATGAAATACTTTCCCAAGCAGCACTGCCATTTGAAAAGCAACAGTGGCCAATGAATGGACTGGTGTGTTTGGTACTGAGCACAGAAACCAAAGACAGCCCTCCGATCAAACAAAGAGACTTCTGCCTATGTTTAAGAGCCAACAAAGCAGCAAAAGTACTATCAAGAAAAGCATGGACCTCTGAAGGTCTAGCATTGGGAAAAGCAAGTATCAGCAAATGGAAAGTTTTGTATCCACGTAAAAGGAACACATTGTAACCACAGTGGTTCTGATCACACAGTGGCAGGTGAAAGTAGAAGAGGAAAAAAGAAGCCTGCTGTCCTCTACAAATTCACACCTGGGTAGGCATGTCAGCCTGTCACCACTGATATTGCTAAGAGAAAATAAGCCCCCAGGTCTTACAAATTTTGGTTCACAAACCCTGAAAACAGAAATACACAGAGATCACCAGTCAAGGAAACATGGACTTTCTGGCCCAGGTTTCAAAAGCTTAGCAAGTAATAGAAAACTTTCAGAACTGGAGAGTTAATAACTAAGTTGAGAGATCAAAGAGTTGCAAAACACTGTGCATAAGACAGGTCATTTAAGACCAAGTGCTTTTAAAAACTAAACAACATGGCTTGGTTTTGGACATACAGCATATCCAAAATTCAAATTTAAGCCAATGCGTATGTGGAAAGTATAGTAGGTGTTGAATTCCCTGGCCAAAGTTTTCCCATGTAAGAGCTGTGTATGCCCCTATTTTGAGATACTGTTGTTGTCCAGACATGTCAGAAGGATAATAGCCATGGACACAAGTTATTAGCCTTACTCAAACATTATCTATACTAAATTGCAGCTTTAATAAGCCTACATTACAGACAGGCTAAGAAATCTCATTTTTGTAGGCGTGACTTTTTTTGCTGTATAAACAAAGCTCAAGAATACAAAAGATGCATGCAGATTCAGACCAAAGCCCTACCTACACAATCTTGGTTGCACAGGAAAGCCAACATAACATGCAAGTATGATTTAATGTTCGCACTTCATGTTCTTTCCATAAAAAGCTATGTTTACTCATTTTCACAATTCCAATCCCTTTGTACCTGGAAAAGAGAGAAATACTCTGCATGCAACCAAGATATTTTAGAACAAGTCCCCTGTGTCTAAGGCAGTGCTCCATCCTTCTGGGCGTCAAGATGGTTTTCAACACTGAGACTTCTGCACACTTAACCTGCCAGCCAGTTCCAGAGCCTAAAGGACAATCATGTCTAACCCACATAGACTTTTAAATAAGAGTCAACTATAGCTGATTTCAGGAGAGAGAGAAGATATCTTGAGGAGCTAACAAAACCAAATTAATTCCTATATTTAAGAAGTCTTTGACTCCAGCAATTTTCATCATATGCCTCATTCACTAAGCATTATTAAATACTAGTTTTTGAGCTAACTTCCTAAAATGAACAGAAGTAGAAGGCTCAGAGTTAGACCAAGTAACTTTTAGGCCCTTTTTCCCCTTCCTACTGCAGTGATTAGTCAAGAGAAGCGTTCTTCCTCAGAACTTAAGTCTGCAAGATAGGCTCCAGAGCAGACTTCTTACTGCGGAATGTGTTTCCCCACCCAGTTCTTTAACTCTAAAGCTGACCACCCTCAAACGAGCACACGTCATAAGAATTTCAATCAGACTTTAAAACCTATGAATTCATAGCAGCGATGGGAAAGGAAGTAGTGAGGAACTACCTTGCGTATTCTGTACTGCAAAGGATTTCTCTCTCCATGTCTGCTCTACAATCTGTGTATAGCACAGAATTTAAAATGCGAATTCAGGAGTACCAGAGTCTGAAGTCCCACTACATTTATGAGTAGTCCTATTTCCCTGATACAGACAGCACCAGCACACTTTTTAAGGGCCAGCACAACATATCAGCATCTATCGCCCATTCCAACCACTGGTATATGAACTTTTATAAATTAACTACTTTCCTACAAACCAATGACCAGGACTCTAAATAAATGTACCAATACAAAATGTTTAAGATATTAAAAACTTAGAGTTAATACAATATGAATGGTTTTAAAAAATACCAGTTTTTTAATCTGTCACGGGCTTCCAACTGGGCTCCCACCTCAAAGTTGATCCCTCTTCTATTCGGAGGATGTTTTGTCATTTTGTAATATCAACACTGCTGATTTTATTCCCCTGAAAAATGCAATTAAATATCAATCACTAATCAAGACATACACAAAATAAGCTTATGCACCATAATCCCCAAAAGCTAGACGTTAAGGGACCTCTGTATTTTTGGTCTGCAGAAAGTAATGGGGGCAATTATCTCCAAGTTCCCAAGTGACAATGTGCAGAATCATTCAAAAAATCTGTTCGAAATGGTAGCTACTGGACCATGAAAGACTGAAGCTAAACCTTTGTCCATCAGTCAATTCCAGGTCAGTTAAGAACCCGGTAACCCAATGCTTATTCACAACTAATAATAGTTTCATGATACTCTCTCCCCCCCTCCCGGTTTTGATGAAAACAAGGAACCCAGTAAACAGGAAGTGGGCAAAACCAAACATAATAACAGTCTTTCAACAGCTAACATGTTAGTGGAACACTCAAGAATACTATGTCACCTCACCACTACAAATGCAATAGTGTTCAAAGACATTAGAAATGTCTATTTTCTTTACTCAATCTTAGAAGACTCTCTATACTGCTTGGATATTTGCATTGCTCTCTTCCCACTTCACCATTTTAACCAGAAAATAAGAAGTCTTCATTAAGACATGTTTCCAACAGATAATATAAAGGGTTTAGAAATCTTGCCAAAGTAGTTTCAGAAAGTCTGATCTTTTTCCCAAATTTGTCAGTCATTTCCCACAATTACAAGATACAAATTGTGAGCTTGAAGGCTACAGGAACGGATCATAAGATCCAAAAATATGAATAAGTATTATTCAATACTGTCCTCCTTACAACAAAGCTATATCCTGAAGATTCAATTAAAGATGTATAAAATGGATGCAAGTTAAATTAAAAAACCTTCTAGTCTTACACTACAAGAATAAGGAGACATGCACTGGCAGCACCATTTTGGTTCACACAATATGTAAGCAGCAATAATATCAACTGAGCTGCATCTATAAAGAGATTAACATTATTTTCTGAAGAACTACTCTACGTTCAAGTGTGGTGCAGAAATCAAAGATCGTTAGGAAAGTCATAAACCTGGTATCGCAGGGAAAAGCTACTCCATCACCACACTTTTTAAACCAGGCCATTTGCCAAGGGCTGGCCATGGAGGCACCTCCACCATATCATAACCACATTGCAAAAAAACTTCTCCACCAGAAGACAATCTGCTGTCTTCCTCTAAAGCACTGATTTTAGACTTATCTTCACTACTGTTAAAGCAACCTGCAACAGTATGGGAAAAAAAATGCTATTGGCTGTAAGCTCAATTCACAACACAGTGATTCACACTGAAATACAAAATATTTTAGCCATCTAGGAACTGAGAAACATTGCAAGTTACTTTTCTAGAGTATCTGATAACAAACTGAGTTTTCCCAGCATGGATCTGAATCAGTCCAAAACTGACTGTCTTTAACATGGCTAGAGGTTGGGGGATGGGAGGGGATTTACATACCACCGCTGTACCTTTTAATTGGGAAAGGAGATGGTGAAGGAAATTAAGGAAAAAGTTAGGATGGTTGGGTTTTTATGTTCTGATGAACAATAAAAGAATTTTTTTTTTTAAGCAAACCTGGAAATCCAAACAGCAAGTGCAAAGCTTTTTTTTTTTTTTAAACAGTTTATCCACCCACAGCTCAAACATATACTATCTTCTCTGCAGATTTACATCATTAAAATACCACTTTCTCACATTAGCAATAGATTTTCCTGCCTCCAAATATGGAACAGACACACATTTTGCTTAACACTTGTAGGAGAAATTACAGTTGCAAGATGACTCTTGTCCTAGTAAGCTTATTTTTCCCTTTCACTAAGTAGGGACATGCAAAGACAACATACTCCTAAAAGTACTGGAAGAACACTATTCACAGAATCAACAGAATCATTAAGGTTGGAAAGGTCCTCCAAGATCATGAAGTCCAACCATCAACACAACACCACCATGCCCACTAAACCATGTCCCAAAGTGCCATATATACATGTTTTTTGAACGCCTCCAGTGATGGTAAGTCCACCACTTCCCTGAGCAGACTGTTCAATGTTTGACCACTCTTCCAGTAAAGCAATGTTTCCTAATATCCAATGTAAACCTCCCTGGCACAACTTGAGGCCATCTCCTCTTGTCCTATTGAAGCTCTCCGCTCTCCCCTTCAGTAACAGCTGCAATCCTGAAGAATGGGAGTCATTTCAGCTCAACCTACACAAGGCTGGAAGAGGAACATACACATCTCCTGACTTCAGTAACAGGATCTCACACAATAGGGCTTCAATACATAAACATCAATTTTGGAGAGGAAGGCCTTAAGCTTCCAGTTCCAGTCAAATATTAAAAAACCTACTAGTATCACAACTAAAGGGAAATCTGAAAAAAAAGCAGAAGACCTTTAAGCACATTTACAGAGGCTGCAGATTTTGTGAAAAATCTGAACTCTGTCCACGTTACAGCTACAGCCAGCTGAACACCAGCATTTGTCAGAGCACGCATGTACTGCGCCTCACTAACTCAGCCAAGCTTGTTACAAGGCAGCTGATCAGAAAGTTGAAAGAGGAGAAATTGTATAGGCAAAAGTCTCATGTTACTGCCCCCTCCCCAAAAGTACTCCTTCTTCTGCCCTCCCGAGTTATGAAACTTGGGCTGCTTTGGGTTATCTCTCACATCCTGCAACTGGATTTACCGTGATCCAGCAGTCCCTATACTCAGCATGCCTTGCAAAGCAGGCTGTTTGTTTCATTTGCAGCTAATTTCAGAACAGCTTCTTCAAGCAGATACAGACTTTGGAGAACATTACATGAAATAAATTACTCAATAAAGGAGCTCAACAATTTTACCCTGAAATATACAGCCTTAGAGCAAGACTGAAACCACACGATACAACCTTCACTGGGAGCCATCACATAGCTCTGCACAAACAAGGCCAACAGGCAACGCTACAGGCCATCCACTTTTCACCAGCGTGCCCTTGACCATATGGAGAACTTTGTTTCTCAGAAAGAAAGCACCAAACACAGGGGCTTGCCTCTGCTTCAAGATTTTATATTTCAGCCTCTGTCCTCTCGTGCAAGGACTACTTAAAAACCTTAAATTACATCAAAACAGATTGTTAACAAACAACCCCAGACTAATCAGACACAGTCATAGCTATGACTTGGAAATAAGAACACTTCACCAGAATATCTCTTCTAAAATTTTCTTCAGAAAATGAATTTGTACCAACTTGGTAACTAAACCAAGACACGAGTTGGCTTTTCACTTTGGTAATTCTAGGAATCCATTTTTCTCAAGTGTTCAAGAACAAGATTAAAGCAAGAGGTGGTTACTAGGCCTACCCCCAAAGTTGTATAGATTTTCTCCAAAACTTCTTTTCCACTGTGAGGATTAGACCTGTTTCAGCAACAAAATGACTCTGCCATTCTCTCCAACACCAGAGAGTCCAAAGCTGCTAGTGTATCTATGTGCCCATTTTGAAACTGCCAAGGAGAAAGTCCAATTACATTTTGCATGAGGTTTTTATTGCTCTGCAACAGTTACTTTTGACCTTTTACTTATACCATCTACATACATGATACCAAGCCTCGCATCTTCATCAGTGGTAAAATGATGAAAGCCTCACCCAGTTCACCCCCTACAATATGCACGCCCCCATCAGGAATGGTCAATCCAGAGAAGTCCATGGTCCCCACCACAATCGGAAGACCTTGCAAGTGGATGACCACAGCCATGCTGTGCTGAAACCACACACCTGCAGATGAGAAAAGGTAATGGCTATATCAGACTGCAAAATAGTATTTACAGACACCATTTACATCATACAATCCTAATGGCATCTTATGAAGACTAAGTACGAGTCTTAAACATTTAAACACCACTTTTAAATATTGTTTTGTCGCTGACTTGGAAAGCCGATTACAACAGACTTTTATTGCCTGCAGACAAAAAAAGTCTGCCTACAGCAGCATTGCTACCACGAAGTATGCCTCACTGTATTTTACCCAGCATATAAAAATAGAAATAAAACCCTACATCTGTTAAAGTACTAACCCAGAAACAGGTTCTGTATTAGCTATTCATCTAAGGATCCCTGTGCTCCTGCCTCATGTTTTGTTTATAGCAAGATGAGTAAGTTTTAGGACACAAAACATAAGTTTCAGAAGATGTCCTTAGCACTCATTTCAAAACACAATGCCTCGGACCTTCAGTCAAGGTTTCCTTAATGCAAAAGGAGCAGAAACAGGAAAGATTCAAAGTGGTGGACATGAAGACTGTTAAGACACTGCAACAGATTCCAAGGAATACTGCATCACCTCCCTTTTTCTATCCAAAAGACACTGGACTACATGAGGTTCTTATTTGCACCATGCAAGATCCTCAACTAGATCTTAACTAGCACTCACTTCTTGCTTTAAAAGTTTCCCAGATTCAATCAACAACTACACAGGCAAACTCTTTGACTGAGGAACACAACACTGAAATTGGATCCTGAACTGATGCTTGAAGCTTCCATACCAAAAATACTGTACACCTAATTCTTCGACACGAAACATTCCCTCAAAGCGTAAGACTTAGTATTTTATTTCAGACTCCTATTTTTCCTCTAGTTTATGCCAGGAGACTAACAAAACTGACACCAGTAAAACTCTGTATTTGCTCTCCTCTTCAGGCAGAGATCAAGACTTACTAAAAGTACTTGGTGACAAAAGTGAAACGGTGTCAGCAAACATAAGCTACTATCCCCGGATCAAGATCCTCACACTCTCCTTGGGATTACAGGGCATCAGGAATGTCATTTTCATCCTCTCAACTGTGAGGGTAATTCAATGTAACTGTGCTGTCAATTCAAATTGGTGGTGAGACAGGGGCAGACCAACATCGAAGCAGGAATTACAAACATGGGCAATTCAGCAGAACAGAAAAGGTATTTTTCTATAATAAAACCTATTTGAATTACCAAGTGCAATTAAAGAAATAAATACTCA